GAGAGAGGTTCCAGATCTGCATTTTTCAACAGGTCTGAAAACATTGCTGAAACTTTGTTACAGTTGTCTCAAACTCCTCAGCAGTCTGGAAGCCTCCTTATACACTTACTATCCCCAGACTGCAAGATGGAGCCTCAATACCAAGAAAACTAATTTAGCTGCCTTTCATACTCAAACTCTGATACAATTTTCCCCTTCTTCATTTTTTAAAGCTTTATGTGCCATGAGTTCTTTAACAATGCTTATGTTTCTGATAGATTTTTATTAGCCCAATATTTTCAGCAAAACTGCTGCTATTTAAAGGAGTCAAGAACATAGATGTTCTGTTACAAAACATATCCTTCATTAGCTTACTCAGAGGAAAAGCATTTTCATGATTTAGTATTTTCACTTCATTAGCTTTAACTCCTGATGTTATTATTAGCAGCAGTGATATTTAGCGTTGATTTTATATAAGGAACTTTCAGGTGAAGCAGCTATATTTTGTAAAACAGCTAGATTTTCTAAAGTTAGTTCCCATCTATAAAGCAGTCATTTCTTTTTGAATGCCCGTTTCTTTGTCTCCTTATTAAATTTGCAAAGGAATCACCTATTGCAACCTGTTTGTTTAAGGAAAAGAACTTTTTAAATTTCCCATACGTTTCTTATAAAACAATGTTCAGTATATAGACTGTTTTTCCTTGTTAAGGATTTTAAAATGGCTTGTTGACAAACGGTTTCTAGTTAGAGGCTGTCTCTTTACCCAAATTCATTACTTCAGGATGAGAGTAAAATTCCCCTTGAAGCACTATAAAGCTCCTACCAAAAATTGCTTGCACAGCTATTAGGGAAAATAAGTCATTTTCGCAAAGGTGCCAAAAACGACGACCCTCCGAGTTCCATATCCTTTTAATTTTTCTTTGGAACTGACATTCAACAAACTCTGAGATGATTTTCCTCTTTCTTTTAAAAGCTGTACTTTAAGTTTACTATGAAAATCTTTTTGAGCTGAAAAGTTCTTCCAGGCACTGTCGCCATCTTTAGTGGAAAAACTACCTTTCCCAGAATGCATTTCTCTTATATCAGCCCCTTGTTGCAAGCTAGCTTTCGACTTCATTCCCCAAAGTTCTTTTTGGGTCTGAAAGTCAACTTGCAGCTCTCTTACCAGCTTACTTCTGAAGTTTTTACCTGGGAGGTTTGAACCAAGTTTTTTGCTTTTGCAACGGGAGATTTGAACTAAGTGTTTTAAGTTTTCAACTACTGGAGACTGGGAGATTTCTGCTGTCTCTGAGCTGGCCTCAACAGGTGTCTCTCCTTCATTTGACACGCCCCAAATCAGAACTGCATCTGCCTGGTTAGAGCACATTTGAGGCTGGCATTCCTGATAGCAACTTTCCTCAGGGCTTGTGTTTGGCTTAGCCGGTCAGCAAAAAGCAAAAGCATTCACAACAGAGCTTTCCCACGGCTCCTTCAGAGAGATTTTTTTCCTCCACTGTTCTTATTCTCATTTTGCTTGTTCCTTTCCCTCCAGATGCAGAGCTTCAGGTATCTGTCTGTGGCTCTGTACCTCTGCTGTCTGCCTTTGGAAGTAGGGGCTTTCCCCAAATCTGACTCAAACTCTAGCAGCTTTTCTCAGATCATGCACTTTCTGGGGAGGAATCTGTCCCTTCTCCATTTCTTCAGAGAGTCTTTCTCCCTCACAGTTCCCAGTTTGGTCTCAGTTTATTCCCTCTGCCCCAGAAACAGTTTCTGACACTAAAGTGCTGACTTTTCCTGTCCTGAAGGTAGTGGGTTTTTTGTCTGTTTCTGTTTTCAGGGTCTGTGAGGTTTGTGTTAAAAAATCAAGCTTCTGTTTTTTGTTTTTTGTTTTTTTTAAATAAGGGAGGTTTTTGTTCCCCCTAAACTGGCATTTACAACAGGTATTTTGCCTCATCAGGCCTTCACCTGGCCCAGTCTCCCAGTGGGTTGCATCTGTTTGTCCAGATGCTCAAGGACAGAGCTTATGCCAGAAGCAATCACCCCTTAGGGCTACACTCCCTCATCTCACCGGGAGTCAGTGGAAACAAAGCTTTTCTCAAAAATATGCTTTCTGATAGAAAAGAAAGCTTTACTCCTGGATAGTTCTCTGTTCTGCCCTGGCTGGGCTCTTTCCCAGACGGCATTCTGACTCAGCTGCACAAGTGCTTCAGACACAGTTCAGCTTTACTGTTTTCCCAGAAATGTCGTTTCTCTGATACGAAAGCTTTTCTCAGATTTCTTTTTGAAGTTGTGGACCTATCAACCCAGGACTTATAGGAAAGCAGACAACTGTGCTGTTCCCACTGGCTTTAGCTTTGTTTGTTCATTAGCAATTTTCCCTGGCGGTCCTGCACCTTCCCACCTCAGTTCTAAGTTCCAGAAAGTTCGAAACTGCAGGAACTCTAGTATTCCCGGAATTCACTCAAACTTGGAGACACTGGCTAGTTGCTTCTCAGTTGTTGGTTAGAAGGTAGGATACAATGCTTAACAGAGTTTGCATTGTTTCAGAGGATCTTGGCCTTGGTGTTAGGATGATTAGGAGCACCTTTTCATTCTGAAATGCTCACTCAAAAACAAAACCCTTGATGCCTCAGCTCAGCTGTAACGGAAAAGCTTGGCTTTTTTGCTTTTCCCAGGTAAACAATTCCCTGCCCTATTGGGTTCTTTATGGCTCTTCACCTACACTCTCCCAAGCGTTTCCCTCAGGGTCCTCTGACCCAATGTCTTTTACTAGCTTGAAGAGACAGAACTTAGAAGAGGTTTTTTATGAACTCATCCCTGCCTTCTGCTTTGCAGGGAGGATTTTTTTTTTTAAAGCTTGAAAGACAGAATTTAGAGAGGTTTTGCTGTCTTAAGAGGTTTGTTGTTTTCTCTTAGAGCTAATCACAGGTGATTCCCATATTAATATCTTCAGGTGATTCTAATTTTTGTCTTTCTGAGAGAGAAAGTTAAAGGCTTTAGCTTTTAAGTTTTTTAAGAGAGCTTTAGTTTGAGAAAGAAACATTAAGGCTTTTGAGAGTTTTTTCCCCCAAATTTTCCAAGAAAAGCTTTTAGTTTAAGAGAAAGATTTTTTCTTCCCAAGAGAGAGACCAACTTTTCCCAAAACTTCAGAACGTTAATTTTTTTGGCTTCTTATACCTGCATTTTTGCCTCAGGGAGAAATCACTTTCTCCTGCCACTTGGACTTAGCATTTCAGCTGTCCCCAGGACAAAAGCTTCCATAGGAAACTTTTTCTTCCCCACAAGCTCAAAGAAGAGGTTTTTTTTTTTTTTAACTACCTGGAAAGCTAAAAGTTTTTTCCCCTAGTTTGCATTCATAGCCCCCAAAGTTAGAAAATTGAAGTGTTTTTCTGTCTAGTTGCCTTACTTATCTTAAATTTTTGCTATCTTACACTTCTAAGTTTTTCCTACAGTATATTACTATACTATACCTTATACTTATTTCACAGATAGAAATTAAGAGATACAATATAGAAAATTTTTAGAGGAGATTTTTGCGCAGTAGTATCAGACATCTTTCCAGTCCATTTTTCTTTTGCTCTTGAGGATAAAATCCCCTGCCTCATATATATATATATATATATATATATATATATATATATATATATATATATATATATATTCCATAACAACACCAGGCATTCCCCTTTCCACTGGCAGGACTGACTCAGCACTTTCGCCTAAAACTCTGTAATAAAACTATTATTTTCCTTTTTCTTTAGTCCCTATTGCTTTGTCCTTAGTTCCTGTTCATTTATCTTTAGTTCTCTACCTTTTTTTTTCTTCTTTTTTTTTCTTTCTTTAGTCCCTGTTCATGGTGCCATCTGTGGGGCATTTACCCACCAACCCCACAGTTTCCCAGAGTTTTCTTGAGTGTGAGCAGCAGAAATATTAGATAGAAGGATTTAGATTGTGGGGATAAACAGATAGAAAATAAAAGATAGCCCCAAGAGGGCCTGAAGCCTACTCCAATGGGCCCTGACTGTCTCTGCCCCCAGGGTATTTATAGAGATGCCAAGGGGTGGAACAAAAGCCCTCCCCCCAGCACAGCATAGTGCAGACCATCTCAGACACCTGCACTCAGGCCTGTGGTCCTAATCATCCTCTCTATGCAGATCTGCTGAGTAAAGCCATGAGGAACCTGAAAACGGGCTTTCACATTCCCCTATAACCCGTTCCCCATTTCCTCCTCCCCACTATCCTTTCTTCTCCTCCCTCTCCCTTCAGCTCCCCTGTTTACAAAGAAATAATAAATTTTGCAAATTAGAGAAAATACTTCATATCTCCCATTCCAGGCCCCACTTTTTTCACTAATCACTGTCTCTTCCCTGACAAAGGTATCATTTCATTTTTATTAAGGCCAAGTAAAATGCCATCTTGTACATTTTCTTTGTCGGTTCATCAGCTGATGGAAGAGAGAACACATTCACATCTTGGCTACTGTGGGTAGTGCCACAGTGAGCACAGTTGTACAGAATCTGTCCTTTGAATACTTAAAGTCCTTTCCTTACCCAGAAATGTTTTGAGATTCTCTTACAAAGAAACCAAAACAAACACAAGATCCCATGTTTTAATTATGATAGAAGTCTAGGTCAAACTCATGGAGCGATAAAACAGGCCTTGATTTTTTTTTCTTTCTCTCCTATATATGGGATGTTATATTCATTATTTTAAAACGTTTCAATTTTAGGTTTTTCAAGACAGGGTTTCTCTGTGCAGCCCTCACTGGTTGTCCTGGAACTCACTCTGTAGACTATGCTAGCGTGCCTGCCTCTGGCCTGTGCCACAGCATCAGGTGTGCACATTGTACAAATTAAAAAAAATCAAAAAGATTAAATGACACAAAATGGGAACGGGCAAATATTTAATCAGCTGGTTGAGCGCCATTGTTATATGATGATGGCTCAGAAAAGAGAAGCTCAGAAGTGAACAGGTCAGCTCCAGCAGTGGTAATGAAACTGCTGAGAGACTGATCTTATTTTAAGCTACAAGATTAATCCCCATGGGAGTTCACCATTTGTGGAGATACTGCAATACCGGGTCAATGCTGGGAGTGGATGGAGCAAGCTCCTAGTACAACTCCTAGTGTCAAAAATCCATTTAATATATTGTCCTGGGATAGAGGACAGATTAGATATTAAACTGATAAGCACAGATACTACATTTGATCTTAGCCAAAAGACTGAGACCTGATAACTGCATTTCCACCCACACTAACACTACTAACATGCACGTAACCTCCACAGCATGGTCATAAATACACTCGCACCAACAATCATGCGCCCTGCATGGACTCCCTAGGTCTCTTGTGCCCACAACTTATACTCTAGAGAAAGTCTGTGAGATCCAACAGAGGATGAAATTTTTAGTTGCACTTTTTTGTTCCCAGAATTCTGAGGAGACTGGGGCCATATTGTTATTTGCATGCACCGCCCAGCGTGCTTTTGATCTTCAAGTTGTGAGAAGTGGCCAGATGGCTGATGGACTTGCAGACTGATTCTCGCAGTTCTCTCCCAGGTTCTCCTTCACAATCTTTCAGACACAGACTTGACAACATCCACCATAAATAGGTTCCCTTCCCCATCCACACACTCCTGTTCTTATATGTAGTCCATTCTGCATCACCTCTTTCCCTGAGATAACATCCATGACTGAGGGGAGGGGACCGAAGCCCTTCCTGAGTGTGGACCCAGGGAAGACACAGTCTGATCCACTCATGGGGCAGAATGAGCCTTGGAACTTGAGCCCTTGGAATTTCAACTCCTTTGCGGTAACTGTTATTCGGTTTTTAGTTTTTAGGGGTTTTTTTTCTTTCCCTCCATCACTTTTGTTCATTTCTTTCCTTGTACATCTTATTTTAACGTGCAATCTCTAGCTCAGACTGACCCAAAATTTTTGGTGATCCTCCCATCACAGCCTAGCCCAACAGCTGGGTTCCTTTCTTTTATATTTTGAGACAGGTTCTCTCTGTGTAGCCATTGCTATTCCAAAATTTGCAATGTCAACCAGGTTGGCCTCAAACTCAGAGATGTTCCTGACCCTATCACTCTAAAGGTGTGGGCCACCTACCCAGCATAGTTCCTTAAAAAAAAAAAAAAAAACAGACCAAACCTCACTTTGGGTTGGGCTTTATGACACAGACCTGTAGTCAACTCCATAGGATGATCCATAAGAGGACCCTGTGTTCCAGGTTGTTCCAGGCTCCTCAGTGATAGGATATGCCACGGGGATTAAGGGCGTGTGCTAGAACTCTAACTGGCTATTTAAAAATTTTGAGGTTGGGTTTTAAAGATAGCTTGGGTGTGGAAGAAGGGAAGGTCTATTGGAAGATATAGCAAGAACTCATGTGAGCATTTTGGAGACTAAACCACATGGGGGGGTCTCTTCATCCTTTCCCAACTGCCTCCAGGAAGTGTTGCTGAGTACAGGAGGAGGATGCAGGAAGAATGTGGTGAAAGTCACATATATTCCAGGACATTGCTCAGACCTCATGGTTATTTTCTGTATTCCTTTTCTATTGCTCTCAGGGGCCCCTGGTGTGCTATTCCTTTCATACTGGCCAGTTTCTTCCACCTAAATAGACCCCCTTCTGGTATCAGTTGGAAGTGTTGCTCCTTGGGATTTGGGTCAAGATCATTAGTCCTGATTTTACTCAGTTGTGATCACCAATGGTTGCAATCAAGAGTTCATGACCTCTTGTCTTCTCCTCACTCAGAAGATGCCACACAGCAAGCATCTGAGCTCCTCTTAGTAGCCCTGTGTGTGATCCTCAGTGCTCTGTCACAGTGGCAAGTCTCTGAGATTGTGAACATAGAGGAAGACACAGTTGTGTAGGCCTATAGCTTCAGAGTTCCATGTCTGTGAGCAACAGACACTGGTGTAGACAAAATTCTAAACAATCTTAGTAAATAAGAAACACAGAGCCAAATACAGAGGTGATAGCAAAAGAGATCAGAGGGCCACGACTACCTTATCTTCCTGTCTGATTTGTGTTTTTATTGTCTTTCTTTTCTGCTTTCTCATTGGCTCTAAGCCCAGCCACATGACTTCCTCATCACTACCTGTCTATACAGACCTCCAGTCTCTATTGTATCTGGGATTAAAGGCTCATGTCACGACGCTTGGCTGTGTCCTTGACCACACAGAGACTTTGCCTGCCATATGATCCGATTAAAGATGTGTGCTACCACCATGACTTCTGCTTATGGCTTGCTATGTGACCTTGCTATGTGACCTCTGGTCTCCAGACAAACTTTATTAACATACAAATAAAATCACATTTCAGCACAATTAAAATATTACCACACATTGGTGCTTTTGGAGGCAGCTTATTGGGCAGTGAGCCTGTGGGAGAACAAGGCTCTCTGTTTCATGGCCAATGATGAAGAGATGAAGGGGCCAGAGTCCCCTGAGTCCCTTCAAGGTCTTGGAAGACCACACAACAAACTCCTATTGTACTCTGTTTACACTCACAAATACAGAACGGAGTAGACAGGTGAAGTCGTCCTCTGATCTGACTGGAAGCAAATCCACCTCATAGGCAGGAGCAGGGAGAAGGGACATGTGACCCTCCTCCCTTCCCTTCTAAGAAGTCACATACAATGGCAGGAAGCACTGCCTCCTTCAGGCTTTTTGCCCAAGGTCATGGACTTTCCCCTTTTTTTGTCTAAATAAGAAGGTTCTAAACTTAATGTAAACTATATACAATAAGAATGATTATCTAGTATCATCCAGGAAAAACAAAGGGTAATAACATAAACAAAAATGGAACTACAACCAACAAGAATAACATCAAACAAGAGAGACATGCTACATGTCTAGATATGTCCAGAACATAGGTGAATGGTAAATAATTTAGATTGATCCAATAGCTGTCCTATCTTGAAGTTTCTAACTTTAGTACTAATATGTTCTAGCTAAGATACAAGAAGATTGTAACTGTAACTATCTTGTCTTCAAACTCCATTGAAGACCTGAGAAGGAACATTATAATACCTGAGAAAATGTAAATGCAAGCAAGCAATTTCTGAAAATTCTGTGAGAATAGACAGAAACAGCTGGCAGCCAGGATAGTCACCTAAAGTTTCTCAGCATCGTTGTGGCAACCAATTTGGCTACAGGCCTAGAATATCTGACAGGCCATTTTCAGAAGCAGGAATTTTGCAAGACCATCTTACCCTGTCTTGGCAGAGTTCAGTAGTTGTTTTTTCTTGTATCCTGCTCATCTGGAAAGGACAGAGTTCATACTGTCAGCAGTTGAGGCAAGGGCAGTTCTTTGCCCAGCAAGCCATTTGTTGCTAAGAAGACAAACTTCCAAACAGATATGTCTTAGAAGTTCAACATTCTCTTGGGATCAGATCAGTGCTGCCAGGAGTAATTGTGTCTCATGTCAACAGAATTCTAAGTTATCAAAACATTTAAATGCCATAGTCTTTAGATCTACGAAGTGTTTGAAGATTACTTATCCATTTGACATATGTTTTTATAAATCTGGAGAACCTGGCTAACATAACTATAGAAATGACAAGCTTGGGTGACTATAGCTTTGTAAGTCTTATCTACCTAAATAACTTGAAGACTAAGTATTGGTGAAATTATTAAGGCCACTCCACGTAGTTAAAAGGATATTTATTTAATGGTGTCACTCACAAATTAAGGCATAGGTAGGTCACAGGGTCTGGGGAAGGTGTATCGCAGTCCAGCGGTGTTCTCCGGAGCTCTGCTTGGTCCATCTCCACCGTTCAGGGTCCCGACACCAAGCACGCACTTGCCTATCCAGATCTCGAGTCTCCAGGCGCCTCCCCTGGCCCCGCCTCGTAGGCATGACAGTTGCCAGAGTCTCAATGGGGGTTGGAACTTCCAGATCCAAGCTGGAATGGCTACCCACTACAACTAAGGCTTCACATTAACTAGGTAAAGTCTGTAAAGAGATGTACTGTATAAGGACAATGATCTTAAAATTGTGACAATACACAAAATATCTTAAACAGAGGTAGAAATGTATAGTGCAATATGCAATATGACAACAATATCCTTAATGTGTATCAATATGCAAAATATCATAAACAGAGGTAGAACATACATATAGTATGATAAATATATTATTACATTTGTATCAATATAGAAAATATTTCAAACAGGAGTAGGAATATGTGTACAATATGACAAATATAGTTTTGTATTTGTATCAACATACAAATTATCCTAAATAGGAATGTAAGAATAACTTATATTTGTATCAATGTGATGGGAATTTTCTTCAGTCTGGACAAATCTCTCCCACCTAAGGTTCCATAGCCACTTATAAAATAATCACTCAGAGGTTTATTTTAATTACAAACCAGAAGGCTTATGGCTCAATCTTCTTGCTAGTTAGCTCTTATAACTTACCCCATTTCTACTAATCTATAAGTTGCCATGTGGCCATGGTGTTACTGGTCTGCAGCATCTTGCTGCTCTTTGGCCATCAGCTGCCATTTCTCTCACTCTGCCTTTCTCCTCTCTGTATCTCTACTTGGATTTCCTGCCTGGCTAAAAGCTTTCTAGCTTTAGGCCAAAACAGATTTATTTACTAACCAATGGGAACAGCATATATTCACAGCATACAGAAAGACATCCCTTAGTACTTTCCTTTTTGTTGTTTAATCAAAAAGGAAAGTTTTAACTTTAACATAGTAAAATCATATATAACAAAGCAGTTTTCAAGCAAGAATCACATTTATAATATCTAATCTATTTATATTTGGAAAAATTAGGAAATATTCTACTATATATCCTATTTTGTGAGTCTAAAATTTTATATCTAATTTATCTTTTATCATGACTAAGGAAAGCTATAATTATAACTATCTGGTCTTCAACTCCATGAAAAACCCTAGAAGGATATAATATTACCTAAGAAAACAGGCAGTGCATTGTAAGCAACTTCCAAAAATCTAGAATGACAGAGACATTTGACTGCCTGGACAGTCACCCGAAGTTCTTCTGCAGTGATGATGCATCCATGTTCAGCTTATAGGCCTAAAGTTTTTCAATCACTTCTCACTCTGTCCTGTAGAATGTCTGGTAGTCTCCTCTGCAAAGCAGGAACCCGAAGGACTATTTTGCCTTGTTTTGGCATAATTCAGTGGTCATTTTCCTATGGGTCCTGCATGTCTAGTTAATACAACATCCAGTTTATACAAGCAGTCCAGG